ACGTTTTTGAGAAAAAGAATGCAGATATTCTTCCTGAGCATCGTCCATATGATTGTTCAATCGACCTCAAGGAAGGAACTCAGCCCCCATTTGGACCAATTTACAGTTTATCGCAAGATGAGATGGCTGAACTCAAGACATATATTGACGAGAATTTAGCGAAGAATTTCATACGCCATTCAAAATCTCCAGTAGGAGCTCCAATTCTATTCGTAAAGAAAAAAGATGGATCTTTACGAATGTGTGTTGATTATCGAGGATTCAACAAGATCACAATCAAGAATAGGTATCCATTACCTTTGATATCAGGACTCCTTGACCAGTTGAATCAAGCTAAGATCTATACAAAAATAGATCTAAGAGGAGCATATAATCTAGTACGGATCAAAGAAGGAGATGAATGAAAGACTGCGTTTCGAACCAGGTATGGACATTTCGAATATAATGTCATGCCCTTTGGACTCACGAATGCACCAGCTGCTTTTCAACATCTCATGAATGATGTATTTCGTGAATTCTTAGACAATTTTGTCGTCTGCTATCTAGACGATATCCTGATCTATTCTAAGAACGTCGAAGAACATGAAATACATATTCGTCAAGTATTACAAAAACTTAGAGATGCAGGATTGTACGCCAAGATGGAAAAGTGTGTATTTCACACTACTCAAGTTGACTTTTTAGGATACATCATTTCAAATGATGGTCTCATGATGGATTCTAAGAAAGTCCAAACAATCATGGATTGGAAGATTCCAAGGACAGTAAGAGATGTCCAATGTTTCTTGGGATTTGCCAATTACTATCGGATCTTCATCAAAGATTTCTCATGAGTTGCAGCTCTACTTACACGCTTGACTAGTAAAGATAAATTTCAATGGAATCAAGAAGCGGAAGCAGCATTTGAAGCCTTGAAGACATCGTTTGTCTCTGCACCAGTCTTATATCGTGTTGACTTTTCCAAGGCATTTTTTATGGAAACAGATGCATCAGATTTTGCCTTGGATGCAGTTTTATCACAAATGGGAACAGATGACAAACTTCATCCGATAGCTTTTCATTCAAGAAAATTCTCAGCAGCCGAGATCAATTATGAGATCCACGATAAAGAACTTCTTGCGATCGTGGATTCCTTTCAAGAATGGCGTCATTATCTAGAAGGTGCTTCTAGTCCAGTCACTGTGTATACAGATCACAAGAACCTCAGGTATTTCATGTCAACACGCGTGTTGAATCGTCGTCAAGCTCGTTGGAGTATGTCTTTGTCAAGATTCGAATTCATTATCACTTATTGGCAAAGAAAACAACAAGGTTTATCCAATGCCTTATCTAGACGTTCTTATTTTGCACCAAAAGAAGGAGATGCAACTTTTGAGCAACAAAGAACGATCCTCTTGAAACCGGAGCAATTTCATCTCCGAGCAATGAAATCAACATTGACTGTTGATTCAACTTTTCTCAAGCAAATCCAGTCCAGTATGTCCTCAGACCCTCTTGTTCATGATATCGAGAATAATTCTTCCAAGTCTCATGATTCTTCTAAGTTCGAGTTCAAGAATAATCTATTATATTTTGAAGAACGCCTATATGTTCCAGAAGGAGAAGCACGTTTACGTGTTCTTCAAGCACGTCATGACTTTCCAGCAGCACGGCACTTTGGATATAATAAGACTTTGGAACTCATATCAAGAGATTTTTGGTGGCCACAAATGTCGAAGTCAGTCAAAGACTTTGTACAATCATGTGATATTTGTTCAAGATCAAAAATTCCTCGTCATCGACCTTACGGACTTCTTCAGCCATTACCTATACCAGAACAACCATGGTCTTCTGTTTCTATGGATTTCATCACAGATCTTCCAAGCTCAAGATCTTATGATTCTATATTTGTGATAGTAGATCGTTTCACCAAGATGGCACATTTTGTGCCATGTACAAAATCTATCACAGGTGAAGAAACAGCTAAGCTTTTCATTGATAATATCTATCGCTATCATGGATTACCTAAAGATATCATATCGGATAGGGGAACTCAATTTGTGTCAAGATTTTGGAGGACCCTTTTCAAGATTTTAAAAGTGGACATAAAGCTATCTTCGGCTTTCCATCCTCAAACTGATGGACAAACAGAGCGCGTAAACCAAGTCTTGGAGCAGTATTTAAGGTGTACTATCAACTACCAACAAGATGATTGGACAACCCTTCTGCCATTGGCAGAGTTTGCTTATAATAATACGGTACATTCTTCCATGCAACAAACACCTTTCTTTGCCAATTATGGCTATCATCCATGACTTGATACTTTTGATTTTTCAAAAGTTGATAATCCTGCAGCAGAAGATATGGCAAATCGGTTGTCAGAGTTACATGCAATAATAAAGATGCAATTGAAGGTAGCTCAAGAACGACAAAAGATAAACGCAAATCTATATCGTAAGGAGCAACCTCAAATCAACGTGGGTGATAAGGTATGGCTACTTCGTCGCAATATCAAGACTACTCGACCTTGTGACAAGTTGGACTATCGTAGGCTTGGCCCCTTTTCTGTTTCTGAACAGATCAACCCAGTTGCATATCGGTTACATCTACCGGAGTCAATGAAGATCTATCTTGTATTTCACGTGTCTCTTCTTGAACCATATAAGACAGTGGATATACAAGGAAGAAGACAAATGCCACCGCCTCCTATAGAAGTAGATAATAATGAAGAATTTGAGGTGGAAGAGATATTAGACTCAAGGCGGCTCCGAAATAAGCTAGAATATCTTGTTCATTGGCACGGATATGATATTAGTGAACGCACATGGGAGCCATCCAGGAATCTAGCAAATGCATCAGCTAAAGTCAAAGTTTTTCATCAACGACATCCATCGAAACCAAGATAAAAATCTCTCTTATAAAAGAGACAAGATTGAGGCAAGATAACATTCAATTTCTTATCCTTGTTTGTAACTTCTTTGCATTTGTGACGCTAATTAGATGGAGAGCCAACAACCAGCGGATTCAACTCAAGAACCTTCGTTTGCTGACCTGCCGGATGAGACATTACGATTGTCACAACCTTCAAGACGACGCAATCGAGATGAAGATCTTCAAGAACGACATGTTCTTCCTTGAACAGATGGTGAGATACAACGCGTTTGGTATCACGATTTGGGAAGGGACTCTCGATGTTTGGTGATTTTGCTAGAGGTAGGAACAACTCATGATGGTGTTCCGAATATTCTATTCGAAGGAAGTTACGAAGGCCTCAACAATCATCAAATAACTAGGTGGTCTTCCCGCCCTGGTATGGGACACTACCGATGGTTGAGAGGCCCTATCAATCATCTTCGAAGAGAACAGAGATCACAGTATGTGGCGAATACAATTCGTCGCATCATAGATTTCCTCAACATATGATGACCGCTCCTCATGGAACTCGTCTCTAGAAGGAGGGGTAATGTCACGGCCATAATCTTGTAAGCTAATAATTACATATAGAAATAAGTAGAAGTAAGTAAAAGTAGATAAAAGTAAGTTAATTCTATAATATTTAATATAAAAGCTTCCTAGAAACTTCCTAGACGCTGCTTTGACTTCATAGGTGTCTTTAATTGACTTTTTGGATTAGAAACGTGGTCAACAAGTTGGCCATGTGCCACACATGTTGTTAGTTTGAAGATCAAGCTAACTATGTGGCCCACACGTAGAAAAACTTGCCTTGTAAGTCAAGGCATGTGTCCTACAAAGTCAACACATATTGGAGGTCCTATAGAACGTCGCCACGTAGCCCCTAGTTAGATAGTATATATAGAGACAAGAGTGAAGGCTTCTTCACTCTTGTCAACTCCTTTCTTGCTTCGAGTCCAGGTTCAAGAGTCTTTAGTTTCATGTCTTGTGGCAATAGCCATTCCAGTTTCCTTTAATATACCTACTTGTTTATATTTTGACTTATTATATCGAGATAGCCTTTTTGTGTATATTTTCCCTCATCGAGTCTTTGTCCTTGACAATTACTGATGAAGCACTTGTAATTAAGAAAATTGAATTTATATTTAACCTTGCTAATCTCTTCACCAAAGCTCTCTCATTAAGCAACCATCGTCGACTTACTTATAGCATTGGTATGCGACGACTTGCTTTTCTTGAATAAGAAAATTAATGAGCTTTTTAAATAATTAAAGAAAATGATGTTGTACTGTTTTTTCTTCATCTATGGTTTTGTCCTTAAATAAAATATGGTTTTCCTAGATTAGGTTTTAATGAGGTAATAATTGTTTATCTTGAAAGATCACAATATATATATATATATATATATATATATATATCATAATTCTATATAAATTTTATATTATGTAAATATTATGATAAGCAAGGAGGAGTGTTGAGATCATTAAATGTAGCCAGTGCTCTCCATAATATTTAGTGTAGACTACAATAATTACCATAGCTACAATATTTAGAGTCTAGTGGAGAAGTACTGTTTATCGTCTCTTCTTTTCTCTTCTTGTATACGGTCACAACTAGATCAATAGATTTTTGTGTGTGAAGCTCTCTCTCCTTAGAAACCCTCTTGTGTGTATGACTTACTACTACTCTTGTATGTATGTATGACTTACTATTACTCTTGTGTCTTTCTAAACATTCTCAACAGTTACAATCAGGTTTTTCTTATTTCGACATCATCCGTCTTAAGCATGGAACACATACATTCCTTTAGCAACGCATTCATCCAACTATTTCATGCAAAGAGTTGGGATGTTGTTCAGATCTCGGTTTTATCGTTATCCAAGTTGTAGCATTTCGATCTGCTCTTGTTCGGATGATCAGAGCAACGTGGTCCTCAGTTTCATCTCGGATTGGTTCCAAAAACTTTTTATCTGAAGCCATTGTTGCTTCAGACACCAATTCCACAGTCATTGTTGAAATTTTGAAAGTTGACTTTTTACGGCGCTACAGTTCGTGACCACGTCGGCGCAGGGCTTTTCAGAAATATTTATGGTCCAGTTCGATATTTCCCGTCTGCGTGGAATAATGAGGTAGTTTTCGTGTGCTCGAAGTTCGAACCATTTTGGAGGTGACATCGTTACGGAACGTGGCGTTTGTCGGGATCTGGGCTTTGTACGCCTCCGAAGTCTCAAGGAGATCAAACCTTTGCGGACAGATCAGATTTCAGTCTAGTTGCCCGGCCTCGTCTAGATCTTGCGGGAGTTTGTTCAAGTGTGTGCGGGGAGGTGATGCTCGGAGGTTGGGTGGCGGCGATGATCATGTGCTCCAGGTTGAGTCTTGTGCTGCAACACTCTGGGGTCTTGTGGTTTTCTGTTCGTGTGGGAATCCGAGGTGATGCAAATCTGAAAGTCAACCTAGACGTCGCAGGATTGTTACACTTACTAGTCTGAACCTTGTGGAACGTTAAAGAGGCATTTGTGTGGATTTGGGGTTTTTCGCTTAGCTTCCGAGGGGTGTGTAGTATCGAGAATCGCTTGCGTGTTTTTCAACAATTCACATAGTTGGATAGTGGTAGTGGAGTTTGAGCGCCGCCCTCGATCCCTCTTGTCCGTAGATCGTGTTGCGTGCGCAATGTCTGGTCGCCCCGACGTCCGAAATAGAAATTATGGCAATAATACCGAAGCGAATACATCCTCCGCGTCCCAGGGTAGTCCTAACGGGCGAGGCTCGGGCCGTGTGGCCGAAGAACAGGATTACATCCTCCTCCACCGCAGTGAACGCCTGTCCACGTTTTTCAAATCAATGCGCCACTGGTGGAAAAGCGCAATAGAAGTTTCTGGCACCATGAAGCGCAAGAAAGTGAAAATACAATGGAGATATATTCTCTCTCAGGCACTTCTAGACATCCTCTATCTGTGCACAGGTCTGCTAGCATTCATCGGAAAGTGCGTTGAGTTTCCCTTCAACGTTTATTACGCCAACGGCGGCAGTTGGTTGCAGGTCATCAAATATCTTTTCAACGGTGTGTTTTTCCTATCTAAAGATTCCTTAACTGAAAATTCCAGATTGAATAGTATAGAATGTCAATTGTTAGCTCTTATTTCATTCTGACGGAGACGGATCGAATACAATGCAATTACAGGGCAGCTTATCGTTCCCCGCAGAGATGATCCGACTTACCGCACCCTCATTATGCAACTCGATCCTCGAACAAAGCTATACGTGGACAAATCTGCTGCTGGACAAGCACTAAGCGAGGCCGCTACCAGCAAAATATTTCCCGGTACAGATGATGGCGCAAGGTCTACTGCTGATGTCTTGGTCATGGCCTCCAAACTGGCATACGAGAATGAGTCGGTCATCAAAAAGGTGGTCACAGAAGATTGGAATGTAAGTGTAAACTTAGCAGCAATATCCCCGAGACAATTTTTGTTTCCCCTCTTTTTATGCAGGTCATGTTTTTGTTATGCGTCTACTGCTTGCTTAAGTGCTGCTTGTCTCGGGGGTCAAACTAATCCCGTAGACTCTCGTGTTGCAATGCAGATGCATTTTGTTGGCTTCTACAGTTGCTGGAACGGTGCGTTAGCCCTAATCCTTAGACTCTCTGCGACTATGGAGTTTAGGGTTGTTGTGTGCTTGTCTTCTCATGCTATTGCAAGTGGTCTTTGGGGGATCTTAGCTGAAGAATAATAATCGTGGTTTTCCGCGATGCAGAATTTTTGCAAGAGCATAATACTCAGGTCTTCGTCTTCACCGACAGAGCAGAAGACGCGAACGCGATTGTTATCGCCTGGCGGGGCACCGAACCTTTCAATGCAATGGATTGGAGCACAGACTTTGATTTCTCTTGGTACAATTTAGAAGGTATGGGCTGTGTGCACGTCGGATTTCTGGAAGCACTTGGGCTTGCCAGTCGTAACAGACTGGAGTCCTTCCAAACCTTGCAGCAAAAGGCCAACGCCAAATGCAATAACACAAGGGTAAGATCTCCACTTCTTCCAACACGAAAACCCTAATCTTGACATGCCAACCGGAAGAACCTACATCTGATTTAAGTGATACAATGTTTGTATCTCAGCGGTCAGACCACTCGACCTCGGGCCTGTCACCTGACGTGATTCAAGACAGCCACAAACTCCTAGCCTACGATCATATAACTGAAGTGGTGAGAGGTCTCCTTAGCGAGCACCCGGGAGCTAAGCTTTACGGTACAGGCCATAGCCTCGGGGGAGCACTTGCAACACTCTACACAGCAATGTTATTCTACAATGACGAAAAGAATATCCTGAAGAAGCTCGCTGCCGTGTACACATTCGGCCAGCCACGCGTTGGGGACGAAGCATTTGCTCAATACATGAGAGACAACGTCACACACTTTCGCTACTTTCGCGTTGTGTATTGCAACGACTTGGTTCCGAGAGTTCCATTCGATGACAAGCTCTTTGCCTTCAAGCATTTCGGACTGTGTTTCTACTACAACAGTCGGTACATTGCAAGGGTTCGTCTCGCTGCCTAAGATTCTATCCTCCTTTCCAAATTCCGTGGTTGCAATTGGCGTCAGTCTGTTCAATAACACTTTGACCTACAACATGTGTAAGGTTTTGTGCAGTGTCTGCGGGAGGCGCCACGGAAGAACTATTTCTACCTCTCGGATATCTTGACAGTCCGTATAACTGCCATCGGGGAGCTAATCAACGCCTTCAGGCGCAAGGACGCAGACTTCGCTGAGTCGTGGCCTTCCATAATGTCTAGACTGATGGCGCTCCTTGTTCCTGGTGTCGGTGGTCACAGCCCAGTGAACTATGTGAACGCAGTGCGACTGGGGCCGTCTTCTCTTGTTTCGGAGGTCACGGACGAGCTTCACGAGATGAGCGAGAACCTGCACGACTGGGAAGAGAAGTTCAGAGGCGCGGCAGGGAATGGCTGGAATCGGGCGATGCAGGCTTACCGACGCTGGTCTACTCCGCACTAGATTCCCCGCGTCACACAACCGCGATCTTCATGACAAAAGTGCCCAACTCAACGATGCCGAACCCTCACAGTCTACTAAACTTGTGGAAAATGTCCATCCCAGCGCCGAGCATTCTGATCTGTCAAGGCACCGCATGCTCTCAGTCCCGATTGCGAGTCGATGAAACCATGCTCCCGAAAATGCCATGGCCGAACGATCAGAACGCAAGTTATGAAGCTCCAGGGGCTGGAATTCGGCATGGATTGTGGCGATGGAGGGGGATTCTCGACATTCATGTCGGGGATGTCGACGATTCCCCGGTTCCGAGACGCTTGAATATCGCGTCGCGCGTGTGCGGCGTTCGCCGTCTGCTCCATGAACTTGTGCGCAATAAAGTGTGACAAACAATACACCGCAGATCTATCAGTCTAATTTAATCGCTGGACTTGAATACAATGCAAGTTATGCTCTAATTCACAGCTACTGTATTATAACCGCGTTGGTTGATTGTCTTCACATTTTGTATACATTTGTGCGTTTTTTTTTTTTTTTTTTTTTTTTTTTAATTCTCATATTTTTATCTCATTATATGTGTGTGTTTATATATATATATATATATATATTTATTTACTCCTTTATATTCACTAAACTAGTTATTGTTTTCACTTGAGATGTGCTTAAATTGTGATTATCTGAATACGAAAGTGCACATGTGATTTAAGTGATTTTTGCTTTTGCTTTTGCTTTTGTTTTCTCTTTCTTTCTTTCTTGTAATACAAATGGAGATGACAGCCTCGTGTTCGAAGCCATCAAGTAGGATAAGGATTTTAAAGGTGGATTTTATGTTGTTTTTCTTTTTAATATAATTAATAAAAACTATTTGTTTCTATTACTAGTTACAAATATGTTTACTTTTTTGTTGTATTTAATGTACAAGCTTTAAATAAGACAATTTTAATATTCTTTAGTAATTTAATATTTATGATTTTTTTACTCAGAGAAATAGAAATAAAAAAAGAATAGTATTTATCAAATAAAATAAAATAGTGTTTCTTGAATAAAAAATATTATAGCTAATATAAAACTCATAACTTTTATTTTTGTACAAAACAATATATACAGGACAAATCTGTGAGCATTTTCAGTTTAATAAATTATGAAATTATAAAAAATTAATGATACTTTGATACATAAATTTAAGATTCAAACATCTTTTATTATTAAAAACCTTAGATTTATATCATATATATATATATATATATATATATATATATAACATTACAATCAAGGCCCTCATCTCCATCCCCCTTGTACTCTCTCATTCCTAATTGTATGAGCCTTAGTTGAGAATTCTTTTCAACAATATCTAGAACTTGACCACACATACATATTTGCAACAACAATGCCTTTAAAGTTTGGCACAATGTGTTTGGCACATTGTGCTAAAACAACTTCACAATTGTCTTCTATTCTTCACAACATAGTGAGAACAAAGATGAAGCACTGCAAAGGTTTGCAAGCAATAGCACCACCACCACCCCACTAAGGATTTAACCTCATTGATGTGCAAATTATTGGGTCAAAAATTGCAAGAAAAATGGAGTTGAGAAGAAGGAATCCACAAGAGAGCTAGTGGATATGAAACAAGGAAGATACATTTGTATGATTAATAAAAGAAAGATGAAGTTGTGTGATGAAATACTAAAAGGAAGGACATCACAATATATTTGTGTATTTGCAAGAATGTGGGTGGATGTGGCCGCATGATGAAACAGTGCTTAGGTAGTCATTGAGAGTGTATTAAAATGCCAATTTAAGAGTCCACATTCCACTAACATGAGAGAGAGAGAGGGAAAGTTATTTCTTTATCATCTTGCTACCTCCAACATGATGTGAGCTGCATGGATTGTTAACAACTTTTATTGTTCTTTCCCTCACATGGTATTTAGTTGTCTTTGCCAGCATAGACCATTGCTTAGTTTGCTTTTTATCATTGAAATGTTGAGAGATTTGGATTGGGATTTCACTCTTGTTAGTAGAGTATTAGTGTAGAGATTTTGCAATTAGTCTGTTAGTGGCTTTCTGGGAAAGAGAGAAAGAGAGTGGAATTCAATGATTAATTGTTTGATTTTTGTGTGCATGAGTAGCAGTGGATGTAGCAGTCGTCAAATTGTGGTTTAGAATGGAATCCTAAACTGTGACTTTATGTGAATCCATTGTCAGATAATTAAAAACGCAAAGGTAGCAATAATATTGATAATTTTTATCTTTTATAATTTGATGTAGATTGTGATAGCTAGTTTTTATTTATTTATTCGATTATTACATTATTCATTAGATTGCTTTACATGATATCAAAAGAACTTCTAGGAAATATTACATTTCTATGTTATGCTATTAATTCTTTAATATATATTTCTACCATTGTCTAAATTTTGTGTTCTATTTTAAATTTTATTACCTCTCTTTAATTTAATTTTGGAATACTTTAATCATATTTAGTATCAATTACTTTTAGGATATTCAATATTGTTTAAAATATTTAAAATTATTTTTCCTTAATGATATTTTTATAAAGTTTTAAACAATATAAACAGTAAAGATTTATTCAAATATACTTCAGTAATAGAATTATTGTAAATTAATTGAAGTGTTTTTAAATTTTATTTGAAATATATATATATATATATATATATATATATATTCTTGTTTATTGAAATTAAAAAAACTACATTATTATTGACGGTAAAATATATATTTTGTTAAGAGAATTAAACCAATGGTAATTGAATGACTTAATATGCTATTAAATAGTAGTTAATTTGTTTTTACCAAAACTTACTTCGAATTTGAATACTGTAAAACATATCTCAAAGACACTATTGTATTCATCAAAATATTAAAAGCTCTTTTTTTTATTCTTAATCTGGATTTTGCATGTATGAACTATTTATTCTAATAGATTTGATGGAAAAATTATATACTCTAAATTTTAACAATTTAAAAAGTAAGCCATGGATTAATAAAAAAAACAAAACTAAATATACAAACCTAAGAACCACATAAATATTGTATTGAAGCTTTAATTGTATCTAAAAAGTTCTAATACATTATTACATAAAATAATTGAATTAACAAACACCTTATTATACAATCATATTATACTATAATGAATAAGTTGAAGACAACTTACAGAATAGTAAAGTAATAGATTATTAATGTAGTAAGTAAAGATTTGAAGCAATCTTATATTTTAACTGATGTTATTTAAGAATAATATAAGTAACATTAAAAATATAAATTAATTCATAAAAAATAATTTAACGATTTTTTTAATTTATTAATGGTACACATTAATAAGTTGCTAAAAATATTTATATATTTGTAAATCTATTGAGTTTGAATTTAGAATTTAGAGTTGACTAGTTCTAAAGTAAATTACAAGAGAAAAGATAGAAATAGATTAAATTTTTAAAAACTAGTTTCAAGCATTATAGTTTTTCTATTGTTTCTTTTCAGAGAAATAATATTGATAAATACTTTAGCAAATAATTATCTAACTATTTTAATGTAATAGGTGTTCTTGTGATTACATTGTCATGAGTTTATTCATTGCTTAGTAAATAAAACATGCTATATATATATATATATATATATATATATATATGTGAATAGTATTACAACAGTTTTTAAAAAATTGAGCTGTTTTGATGAGATAAACTTTACTATTTTGAAAATAGTTGTATAAATATTATTTATAAACTTATTTTCCTTCTAATATGTTTAGTATCCAAACAAGGTTTTCATTTCTTTTGTATTTTTATTTCTTAAATTAAAAATAAAAATTATATATGCATCTTTAGGAATATTTTATTTTACAAGTAAAATCATACGATCGTCATTTACAACCTCAATATAAAATTTACTGCATAAATTACATTATACAAATAATAGCATGAAACAAATTGAATGTTTTTAATTGTAATGATTTTTATTTTTATAAATATTTTTTATAAATTTATATTTAAATATTCATGAGAATAATATCAAATATATATATATATATATATATATATATTCTCAAGAATGCCTTTAACATACCACACATTTACAAATTATTTAAACATGGGATACATTTATCGAGACATATATAACCGACAAAGCTCAAATCAATCCACCCAGAAAATTAATAGAGTAAGAGTGTATCTATATATATATATATATATATATATATCACCAATATTTCTTAGGCCTAGCACAACTATTAACATTTCATTTATTTGGCATATAAGAATGTAGATTGAACAGTGAACGATGTACCCATCATTGGAACTTGGATTATTGCAATTTTGATTCTCCTCAATTGTGTTCTTGGTAAAAATAAATAAATAAATAAATAAATAAAAGATACATTCCTAGAAGATGCTTGAGTGATTGGCCAGTTGAATTGAAAGATGGAAAGAAAGGAAACAAAAGTGACAAAGTCCTGTATAAAGACAAAAGCTGGGCTAGAATGATGTATATACACATACATACATACACACATACTCACTTAGAATGGCAACACTAGAAAGAACCCTTTGGCAGCATGGAATGGATGTTCAATAGCTCCCCCCCCCCCAACTTTATTGTTGCATAATTGCCCTTCTTTGTAATTTGTGCAATGATGCAAGGGGAGTGGACCAATAGAAGTCACTCTAATTAGCACAAACGAACGAATGAAACTAATCAGAAAGTTTCATTCACTCGTTCTTTCATTCATCCATTCATCCATATGAGCATCTTAGGCCTTTTCCATGAAGTGTTACTTTGGTGTGTTGGGACAAATATGGGAAGCTTTCACGGTTGGTCATACAGCTTTGCCCTCACACTAGTTTCAGAAATGCTACATACTTCGAGGCTCTTTCTGAACGTCATATTTCTATCATGAGCTCAGGTTACATCTCGATGGGAAGCTTTTTTGTTACTGTTGACGTCGACACAGGATTTCATGTACAGGTTTTTAACTCACATGGAATTTGGTTGCATGGGAGGAGGACCCACCTTCAGTTGAAATAGCAACAAGTGCTACTGTGTAAAATTGTTGTTTTTGTTGTTGTTTTTCACTGTTTGACCAGAGCTCGAGGTTTGCATGACGTGCTGAATCGCCGTGGTCAGTCCCCTCCCACCTCTTGCCAAGCGTCAAATTCTTTCCAATGGGAAGCAATTGGGTCCATCTTGCAGAATACCAAGGAATGCTGAATATCTTCTGCTCAGTTGTCACCGCGACGTGGACTTGTTCCTGGGTCGCATCAGGCCTGGAATCCAAGCAAGTCCCGAGTCGTGATGTTACACGAGCCCTGGGGGGTGGAAACTTTCCCGTGGGATGTTACATTATTAAATGTTGACCCCTCGTGCAGATCATAGAAAAAGTGAAGCTGGGGCATGATTGGGAGGTTCGAACGACAATTGTTTGTTTTTGTATTTGTTTTTGTTTTCTCATCAAAAGCTGCGTCTATATTGTAATCGTCAAAGGCTTACATGGTCAGGCGCTACCGACGTTTCTGAGTGGAACCAAGGATGGATTCCCATGCTCTACTGGAATGCTTCGTCTTCGGTGAAGATGGAGAAGATCGTAGTCGATAACAGTGTTTGCCATTCGGGCCTGATTTTCACTCGCGTGTGTTAGTTTTGTCGGGTGGCGATCCTTCAGCGGATTTTGGTAGTAGCCTCAGTGTCGACTTTACGTCGGAATTCGGCTGCTTCTCTCCGACTAGGTGCTCCAAATTGGGTTTAGATTGACGTAGGGCCGACGTCTGGACGACACTGTCGGAGTTCCGGGTAGCTCATGCTCGGAGGGATCCACTTTGTTAACCTCGAGTTCAGAGAATTCTTCTAACCTGTTACTACCACTGTTCAGTTTCGGACTTCCGAGAGTAAGGATGACGAGAGTGCTGGTAATTTGACAGGCAGATGCGTAGGAAGGCGGTGGCCTAGGAGGGAGTATGCGCGAACTCGAGAGGTTTTGTGAGCTCTCTGAATAGGCGATTGTGGTTCAGAGCGCAGACAGATTGAAGGTTGGATTGATTTGAATTGTTACCGTCTGGGATATGATAACTTGGTCGTCTGCTTAGTTTCTTCGTTCTGACGAAGTCAACCTGGTTCCAGAATGGTCGAGTTCGGCATTGAAGTTGCTTCGTATGATGTAATTTAGACGCCAGATGTGGCAGGACCTGCCGCGGTTTGCCAGGCACCGCCAATAGCGGCAGAAGAAGCTCGAGAACTTCGGACAGGACAGCATGGCAATGAGCACTTACGCACTCGGCGGAAGACAGGGACATCACTCATTGAGTCATGTAGGACCGCGTCTTGCAATAGTTGTCTGAATTTAAAGATGCGCAATCAAAAAGGGAATTTTAGGTGGACTTTGCGATGCTGGGCCTTTGGAAAGGGTGGAAAATGTCACCATTTCAGTGAAAAGTCTGCTCGAATTCAATCCTTCTGAGCATGTGTCGAGGCGCGAATCTGTGATGAGAGCCTCAAGCAACAAGCAGTGTCCCAAGAGAAGGGCAGAGTTTAAACCTTGGTCGCGTGTCGCTCTTAAGCAAGAATTCTTCGTAATTCGCTTCTTAGCAGGATATGTTCCACAAGGGAATCAAGGTTGAGGGTGAACCTAAGTGGGAAACAATGTTGACAAACTCGATTGGCGCTTGAATACTGGAAACATGCAGGGAAGGCTTTGAACAGAGCCTGACTTAGGCAAATCACAGTGACTACATTCTGATCGCCGAAGTTCACCATCGCCTCTCGACAAGGTCACAACAATGAGCGTCCGAGAGAGGCCAAATGCCAAATATGGCGATTTACAGGTCAAGGAGAGAGTCACTCAACTGCTGTATTGTGGAATCCAAAGTAGGCTTACGGTATTTGAAAGGCTCGCTTTGGTTTTATTTCTTTTTCTGGCGCTTGACACTTTCGGTGTCGCCGGGTTGAATGCGGACGGCATCGCGCTACTGGAATTCAAGAAGTCCATAACCTCGGATGCTCAGAGCGCCTTGCAAAACTGGAATTACGTCGACGACACTCCGTGCTACTGGAATGGTATTACTTGCATGAAGGTTCAAGGAGTTGACCGTGTGGTTCAAATTGTCCTCCCTAGGTGAGAATCTGTGCCACATCTACCCATAGCCGAATGTTTTCTCAAAGTTGGTGTAGCTCGTTCTTGTTCCGCAACCTCACTAAAGTTCGCATGCTCAGAAAGTCGCTCGGAGGAACCCTGTCTCCGTACCTCGGCAATCTTACATACCTTGCTGTGGTGAACCTGGACACCAATAATTTCACTGGCCAGATCCCAGGGGAGCTTTTCAAGTCGCCGGCCTTGTCCAGTCTCTACCTCTCCGACAACAATTTTTCGGGAGCTATCCCCACAGCGATTTGTGCCCTCGGAGACCAGCTCCGTGTGATTGAACTCAATGGCAACAGATTGGCTGGCGGTTTCCCTGACGACTTTCTCAATTGCTACGGACTTCGCCGGCTTGTTTTGAGCTACAACAATTTCAAGGGTCCCATCCCGCTCGGAATTGGTTCGAAATTGACGCAGCTGAAGAGGCTTGACTTGTCAGTGAATCACTTCAATGGCTCAATCCCGGAGGATTTCGGCAACCTCACGAACTTACTGCCTCAGGTAGCCTCTCGTCATACAAACTGATTAGACGTCGTGTCGCGATCGTTTTGTCAATGTCAGGAAAGTCGAAATGCATGAACCTCCAATCTCTCTAGCAAACTTCCAATTGGCAGGCAGCTTGGCAATAACGTCCTCGTCAGTTTCACCAAGTATGGCATCGAGACAAACGGCAGCAGACCCAAATCCCTCGTGTCAGAGTCAGAACCAGCTCGCAAATGGAGAGGGACATACATCAATCTTGAGAGATTTTTCCACTTCAACAATCAGTCAATCCTGTATTTGAAATTGACTAAAAGTAGTTTCCCGCTGTTTGATTACGGTCGGTTTCTGGCTGAAGGATTCTACGCCTTGAGCCCTAGCAGAACATGCGGACAAGAGGATTTGTCGCAAAGTAGATTTCAATTATAGTGACATAAATCGGCCAAGTTTGCGAGCTCCCAAACGGAGACGGACAGACGTAGAAAGATATACCTTGCTCTCTGTTTCGTCTATAATTAGTTGATGCGACACGCTTTCAAGGCTGGACCAGCGCTCACTCACAAACCCCGTCTGTCTCGATTTCCTGCTGCTGCCTACCCTCCTCGCGGAAGATGACAATGAAATTGGTCGAATTGTATGAAGGGGCATCTTGGGAGATAAATACGGAAACATTAGTTTTGATCCGAGGGGGTCGGTGCAGGTTCGTAATTCGCTTGCTAGGCTGGACTTACCTGCCGTCCATGATCGGTCAAAAGATGTAGGGATATGGACAGAGTATCCTGCTTGCATTCGCCATGACGAACTTGATTCCGCATTTGTGCCCACACGTCCTGGCGACGACCGAATGCGGAGAGAGGCCTTCAGGGTGCCGGTCCTTGTTGTCAAACTACGAGAATGTTGTGAGAGTATGTGGTTTCTCTGATCATGTTAAGGTGTGGAGAGCGAGAGAAAGACTCATTGATCCTCGGGGCCTTGTGTCTAAAATCTGGCTCAGTAGAAGTTGGGATTGTGCGTGAAAGGATGTCTGTGTTGCTTGTGAGATCATGGCCGCCACTAGATGGTTGTGGCACATTGTTCAACCATTGCTGTGAGATGGTTGTGGCACATTGCTTTCTCGGAAGAACTTTGCGTGTCGTGCAATTAGTGGGAGCTTCTTACTGAAATTTTATTCTTACAGTTTCCGCTTAATCTTTCCAACAATCGCTTCTCCGGTGCCATCCCGCCGTCCCTAGCTAATCTTGGGAGAGTCCTCATAGACTTGAGCAACAACAATCTCTCGGGCCCTGTTCCGCCAGACTCTTATTTTCAGGCGCAAGGACCGACTTCTTATATTGGTAACGCGAACCTGTGCGGTTCACCTCTGAAGGTTGATTGTGCATCTTCGCCATCGCCATCGCTATCCCCATTTGACAACATCGCTGGTACATCGGCAACTGGTAGTTTCAGTAAGAGACCTTTGAGCAAGGCTGCTATCATTGGAATTGGAGTTGGTTGTGCAATTGTCGGATTACTTATGGCTTCCATCCTATTTTACTTCATTTTGAGGAAGTTACACATACGTAAGAAGAGTTTGGGCTTAAATAGCCCCGCGAGATCAGACAATGCCAGCAGCCTTCGAGGTTGTCTGTGCTCATGGCGAGAGTCCGGCGGAGGGTCTATGTCCGCCGACGAGGACGATGAAAATGATTTAATGCACCTGTCGGGAGTATTGTCTTTCAGTTTGGAGGAATTGCTTCGAGCTTCAGCATACGTGTTGGGCAAGAGTGGCGTGGGGATTATCTACAAGGCTGTGTTGGACGACGGAACTATGGTGGCTGTAAGAAGGTTGGGAGAAGGCGGAGAACAGAGACAGAAGGAGTTTGAGTCTGAGGTGAAGACCATTGCGCAAGTGCGGCACCTTAACATCGTCACCCTGCATTCATACTCTTGGAGGGCAGAAGAGAAGTTGCTGATTTATGACTATGTTTCCAATGGAAACTTAGAAACTGCTCTCCATTGTAAGGTTTCCTCGATTTTGTCTCTTTTATGCGTTGTGCTTCTGGAGACGATGAAGGAGGATTCGTTGTTGAATTTCGGAGTGGCGAATTTGTGCAGCTAGGTCAAATGCATCGAAGGGGCCTCTAACTTGGGAGATGCGCCTGCAAATTGCGATCGGAGCAGCGCAAGGTCTCGCACATATACATGAGTGTAGCGCTCGGAAGTACGTTCATGGTGACATTAAGCCCAGCAATATTCTTCTCGATGATTGTTTGGTAGCTCGAATTGCAGATTTCGGTCTACAACGATTGCTTTCACTCGCAGAGCCTGAATCTGTGAGGGAGCACGGAAGTTCGAGGGGTGATAATGATAGAGCTTCATCGGTGACTCCAGCTCCGGTTGTCGTCCCTGGTTAGTTCCCATCCCTCAGGCACTTTAGGTCATGCATTCTTGGGATCTCGTATCTTAGTGTTTCAATCGTGAGAATTACAAACTTCTTGTCGCATGAGCCAACTTTGAGGGCATGCATTGGCACTGTTTGCAGAACTTGGAAGGAAGAGGTCTCTTACTCCAAGAGGAGCACATATGGTTGTGCCATTCTTGATGGGAGTGTATCAAGCGCCAGAGGCTATAAGCGCGAAAAAGCCCACTCAGAAGAGCGATGTATACTCATTCGGCATTGTATTGCTTGAGCTTCTCACAGGCACGTCTCCTTTCAACCTGCTTGCTGCTGGTCAAGTCGACCTCGCGTCGCGGGTACGTGTAGCTCTCCAGGAGAAGAGACCGTTCTCCGAGATTTACGACCCTAGTCTGCTCAATAGCAGCAATGAACAGACCAAAATGATTGAAACCTTGCAGGTAAACTTACGAAACCCTGGAAACAGTGGTTGAATCCTTAAGGTTTTGCAGTAGGATTTCCTCCACCCTTACTTTGGTTTGCACACACAATTACAACCTGCCAAGAGGTTGATCTCCGCTTGCGCTCTACAGGTAGCGTTGGCGTGCACCTCCGCAAACCCTGACACCCGGCCGAAGATGAAACAAGTCGCAGAATCTTTAGAGCAACTCTAAACAACTAGTAGCTGGGATGCAAGTAAAGATAAGCTTGTTCAGAATTCTTGAAAGACCGCTTTCGGGGGAAATCGAACCCCTTCGGCTGGTAGCAGTCGAGACTTGTAAACGAAAAGAACAAAACGATTAGCCAGATGACTGTTCTTTAGAAGCTAGAGATGCGGGGAACCTCACAAGAAATCCTCGCGCAATCTTTCCGAGATCACACACTCCATGATCAGACACCGAATTTAGCATCAGAGAGGAAGAATTCAACATTCGATTCGGTTTCTGTGCAATAGCTCGGGGACAGTTAGTTTTGTGCTCGAACCGAGTCTCTCGAGATTGCTCCATCGTAAAAGCATTACCGCGCGCTCGAAAGACAGCAGCGAAATTCAAATCAGCTTGCTGGAGAGCACTGCCAGAGCGTCTCTCCTCCTGCTTTTTCTTCTTCTTCACGAAATAAAACGGCGTCCTTTGTGATAATGGAATCACGGACCTGCATAGCTCGTTAACACGACCGAATTCCAGCCATGGGAATGCGGTGCTCCATTCGCTTCAGCCACAGTATACAGCAATAAACGACCCTCCAGGTGAAGGATCTGTAGAAGATCGCTTGAATACACACACAAACACACTCACACTCGCACACACTCGCGCACACACAGGAAGTATCTCATTCTTCGTTGCATGAAATGAGGTGCCACCGCATTGCTACACAAGGAAAAAAGGATATGATGTTGCAAAAGTATGTTTCACTGCTTTTTCAAAGCACTTTATGGGATTGTAGGAAAGTTTTTTTTTATTATTGTTTTTACTCTTGCAAATAAGAACAATTGTGTCAGAAGTAAACCACTTAGTGTTTTTCAAAAATTGTGTGAAATGTGGTGTTAATTAAGAGGTTTGTCATATAGTTGATAAAGTCTTGCCCATGTAGAGGTTTAATTTAATTATGTTGGTAGAAGTTATAGATATGAAGAAAACAACATAGTAAGAGGTAACAATAAACGAGCAAATCTTTTTTTTATTTACTTTGTAAACACATTTTTCAAAATTATGATCATAGAGAGTTAAATAGTTTTAAATCAATCTTCTGGTCTTGGAACATGGAAGATGCTTTGGTTATTTTATTTTATTTTATTTTATTTTGATAAATTACAGAGAGTAAACCATATAAGTTTGACTCCTGCACCTATTATTTTAATTTTTATTAATTTTAAAAATCACACTCAACATAACTGTAGTTTTACAACTATTTATTTATTTACTTGAAATCAAAAAAATGATTTTATTGTAACTTCAAAATAATGCTTTTGGAACTTTGGTTTTCTTTTAAGTATTAAAAATTGAAATTTTAAACTATTTGATAGGTTTTGTAAAACTAGCACATTCCACCTGTATTAAAATTACTAAATAATTTACATTTATTACATATGAAAAAGCTTTGGTTCTGAAACGTGATGACTTTAGAAAAACGAAAAAACTCAATAAAATAGTTAATTCCAAATTTTTAAAAATAGCTCTTAAAAAAAGTAAAATATTGTAATACATGTTGCCAACTCATTAAGTTGCTTCTGTTATTAAGTATATAATTTTATAATTTATAAAGTAACAATAGAGCATATATAGAGAAAGAGAGGGAGAGAGAGAATTGTTCAAGATATATCCCTAATTGATATTGCTACACCCCAAATGACTAAGGTCTCTTTTATCTTTTTCTTTTTCTAATGTTTGGATTATTTTTTAATAATCTTAATTTTTTATTCTTTGTAAAATCAACTTTTTTAATTATTATGTGCATGTGGGCATAGTTTTTGCTACTATCACAACTTGCCACCCACTTGACAAATTTCTTTAGTCTTTTTTTCTTCCAATTTAAAATTCTTCAAACATTTTCAAGATGTTTTTTTTTTTTTTTTTTTTTTTGTCAAATCATATAGACAGATATTGTTTATAAATATTTAAAGTAAAAAAAAAAAAAAAAAAAAAAAAAAAAAACTTAATAAGATAGGATGTAACATTATCAATTGGAGGTGTAAGGTTTACAATTCTCTCTTTTTATATATATATATATATATATATATATTCTTAGTTGTTGTCATTTATATTTTTTCTGGATAGAAAGATATAATATTCACCCTTGCTAATTCAAACCAAAGTCTTTGTTAACTGCAATAATAACTAAAATTGATAACTAATTTATCAGGTTTATAATAATTAATCATATGTGGAGACCAAATCACATACCAAATTTGTGTATTTGTTCAAGTTTTGAGGTGTTGTTAGTTTGTGATCTATTTAACCACCATTAAATTAATTCTGGACATGAACCTATCTTAAACATTCTCCCTTGAAAGTTCTCAAGAACATTTTCTTTCTTGATTTTATTTTAAATCTACAAATTATGTTTTGAAGTGTTATTATTTTGTGGTTTAGGTCATCACCATTAAATTAATTCTACACAACAATTATCATAAAACATTCTCACTTGAAAAATCTCTAGAATATTTTCTCTCATGATTTTTTCTTGTTTTAATATACAAATTAGGTTTCTTTTGTACATACACCAAAGTCAAACATCAGTTATATTATGTAGATTGTATGATTACTTCCAAACAATTATTCTATTGCTCAAAGATTATGTCAAGTCCAACCTACTGATGTATAAATAGTAAGTAGCCAAACAGTTAATTGTATTATATCTAAGTATCTGCTTTGCAAAACAGAACATACTTGATTTTTCTTGTCTTATTTATTTCAATAATGGGCTCAGGACTCCATTCATTTACTAGAGAATTGTTTCTTCTTGGACGAATAAAATGTCTTGCTAAATGCTACCTATTTCTTGGGAAAACTATCATATCACGCAAAACTAACGTTATAATTCAATAAAATAACTTTAGAAAGAATATGATGTCTCTACAATTCATTTATTTATTTTTACTTTATTTGATTTTTAATTGTTTCAGCAATCACATAAAACTGATGATTTGTTGGATAAATACTGTATGTAGGCTTACAATCTGCTACTATTCAAATCCCCACTGTGTAAACTAAAGCACTCTCTTCTTATTAAAACCCCTGGACCTTGAGATAAGAAAACACTCGAGATAGAACTTACAAATAAGTTGTGGCACGATACTAACAATTACACATGCATACAATATCTTAAGGGTGTGTATTTGCTGAATTACATTACGATGTACTTGCAAATTAGTACACCTCATTTTCTCAATTCTGTCACCTTGGAACTGATTTGGGTAGAATGAAGTACCGTTTCACGTCAATGAGTAAATAATGGACCTCTTCATGAAATTGACCATTCACGCATTTACATGAGACATACCAACTTTAACAATTATAATAGATTGACAAATTTTACCACCTCCGATGCCGGGCGAGGTGACTAGGTAATGTTATGAAAGAAACTATTTCCAACTCCAGTTCCCTCCACATTTCCTATAATCCCACACCTCAGAACATCTCAGAAAAGACATCGCTATTTCACATCTCTCATTCAGCTTGGCCATCCTAGTTGCATAGTCTCATACTCTTCGTGATAAGAATTGCTAACAGAACACGCATCCAGACAAAAACTCATGAACACATGAGACTATAAACCAAGATAACAAACTGATAGGTAGAAAAAAAGAAAATTGAGAAGAAAACGGGAGACGTGCGAACCCAAAACAGCTTCCTCGACGATGCTAACAGCATTCCGATATACTGACAGAAGACTCCCTCAGCACACCCTTGCAGCTTCGCTTTCATGCAAGACCTTCTAAGGTGATCCTGCATGTCAATTCCAGACAGCCTACCTTCGCTTCCAGATAGTGCCCGCTTACTTGCCTCCCAGAGTTGGGAACTGTGATTGGTCTTCGATCTTGGGAGTAACTGCACTTCCTGCAGCTGAACCACGACCGTCACCAAACCTCTCGGCACCAAAGCTGCCACGAGTAGAATCTCGGTCTCCACGGTACCCACTGTCGTGACGGTCACCGCCATCACGGCGATCTCCACGACCACCTCGACCTCCACGGCCGCGGTTGGACGGGTAGTAAAACCTTTCCCCTTCAGCGGGCTTCAGAAACTCGTTGATGCTAACAGGCTACACAATCACGCAACCAAAGCATGTCAGTGCTGGTATCACAATATGTTTCCCACCAAACCCATCCAGCGCGCTGATCGACACCTACTGGCATTAGCACTACGCATTCTAAACTACAACATGACTGCCCCCCAATTTCTTCATTCGAAAACGATCAACATGTATGCGGTGCACTTCAATCGTGACCATACCTTTCGGGACTTCTCCTCTCTTTCAGCGGCATCCCTTTTGATTTTCTCTTTCTCCTGGCCCTGCATGCACCACCCATGCAAAACCAAGAATAAGCACCAACCCTCCTGAGCGAATGTGCTAAACAAGGATTAAGCAGCAGAAATGATAGACCAAGTATTTCACGAAAAAGATATCTTACCAACTTAATGAACACATCCTCTTCGCGCTTCTTGTTCTCCACGAGCTGCATTTTCTCGAAAGCCTTGTCCATTTCGACCTTCCTCTCTGAGGCCTTCGTAGCCTCTAGGGCCTTACGTTTCTCCTCCAAAACCTTCTCATACTGCTCCAGCGTCATCTCCTGCACATGCACACAGCTTTAGTCTTCAGACACGAACTGATCATTGAAATCACAAATCTCGATGAGTGAACTATCCAACTACTGAATCTCAAATTTACAATACGAAGATGGTAAAAAAAAATCTCACATTGTCCTCTTCCTTCTTCTCGGCTGTCCCTTCCTTTTCAGCAGCATCCACGGGTTCCCCCTGCTCAGTCTTCTCAACTGAACCTGCTCGGTTTGATCGCTTACTTTCTTCACTCACTCCTCGAACACTCCCTCTGCACCCACAAAAGTAAGATAACTCACGTAACTAAATCGGTTTCAGACAGAGAACAATCAGGGCACAAAACCCCAGCGATTTCCCAAGGTAGCTTACTGTAAGAGTGCTAAGGCGAGGTCCGCTCTCCATTCATCTCAACCGGAATAGTGAATCTTCTCGAACTCGTATCTAAACGCCGCTCAGGAAGAAAAAGGGGAGATCACACTTTCACTATAATAAAATGCATATATTAATATAAATAAATAAATAAAACTCCATTCATGTATTACTTCGAATAAGACTTGTTCGTGCAGATTTTCAGGATAAAAAGGTTGCGGCAAAGAGTGATCACGGGGATGGGAGTTGAACCGATCGTTTGATAGACCAGCTTGAACTCCAGCTCAAGAGAGGGAAGAAATAAGATCAGTTCGGACAAACATGGAAGCAGGCTGTTCCATTTGTCTCACAAACACAACCCTTGCATCGGCCCAGCCCAGAACCAAACAATCGTCACATCCGCACATCCTAATCCAGGTAGTTGGTGCAGCTCACCCTCTGGAGCCTCTGCTCTGACGATCGAACTCGCGCCTAGGACGATGCTCATCTCCTTCACCAAATCCACGACCACCACCGCCGCGGCCATTACCTCCGCCACGACCACCCTCGTATGAACGTCTCTCACCATTCTCAGTACGAATTGGCCTGTCATACGAGTCGCGCCCACCGACAAAACCGTCGGCATTGCGGGTGATGCTTCCATTGCGACCGTTGCTGTAGTTGCCGCGTTCTCTGTAATCTCCTCCCTCACGGGGGCCACCGCCTTCCCGGCCACCACTGTACCCACGTCCACCACGATAACCACCTCGCCCGCCTCTGGCTCCATCGTACTGAGCCCTCCGTCCATCTTTAACTAAAAATATACAAAATTAAATAAAATTACATCACACCACCAGAACACTTCTGCACACAACTCCAATGACAAAAATTCTTTACACAATCCAGCCAAGAATGGGCAAACCAATAACTCTCGATTCCGTTACAATGTACCCAATCAGTAATTACTACACTCTTCCATGCATGCCCAGAGTTCCACTGGTAAAGAGAACCTGTCACTCGATCCCCTATCCTCAAGGTTAAAAAATTCAAAAACCAAAACCTTGCCAAACCTCGACGCAAATCCCTACGTTACAACCGAAATAAATCCTACGTCGGGCAATACCCTATGCCACCACCAAAATAACAACACGTACCAGCCTCGGCCGGAGAAGCGGGCTTAGTCGGCAGCTTCGCAGGCGCGGCGGGCTTCCTCTTGTCGGCAGGCTTGGCCTCCACCGCCGCCGCGGTGGCGACAGGCGTGGCTCGCACTACCACCTGCGACGGGTCCTCATTCTCGTCGTCGGCGAGCAGGTCGAAGAAGTTCCTCGTGGCCATGGCTGCTGCTGCTGCTGCTGCCCCGCCTTGGGTGCTCCGCCCCCGCACCCCGTTTTTCTGCAGCCCCACCCAAAATTCCCTCAGGAGTAGGTCTCTCGCTCCGCGCGCTCACATTACAATTGCGGTGCCCCCGTGGTGGCCGCGGTCCTCCAGTCGTGCTTGGCTAGTCGTGACCACCGTCTACTCACCCCCATATAGTGAGACCCTCCTGGCCAACGATCTCCGAGCGCGGACGAAGCGATCCCAGCAACTACCGATACGACACACACACGCACACACTCCAACTTGCACTCGCACACTGCAAGCCAAGCGGCGACGGTAGCGAGGGGCTCGCGCTCTGGCGAGGAGGTGAAGAACGGGCAAAGTAGCGCGGGGTATGGCCTCGAAATGGGGAAGTAGCGCGGGGGGGGGGGGGGGGGGGGGGATGGGCCTTCCTTGACAAAGCGAATGGAAGGGACCCTCCTCCCTCCTCCTTCCTTCCTCGGTTGCTTCTTCCTCACTTGCTTTAAGTGCTTGGTTTGGCCTTGGGGACTACGTTTCAAGGTTAGTTTTATTTTTTTATCTCATAAAACCACATAACCACTAGAAGAATCATCTTACTAAAAATAACAATATTGACCTTGGTGATCTTCTTCTAATTTTTCTCTAGTATCCCTTTAGGGTGGAAGTTTTTAAAGGTGTTGTTGATGAGCTCCCATCCCCCTTTCACCTTAATCTTTTGGGGATTCGCCTATTTCTTTACAATGGGTGTCCTCTTCATGAGCTTTGAAAAGAAATGGACATTTTTTAGCTTGAAAATCAAATAGAAACAAACAAATAAATAGGTTGAAAGAAAGCAAAAGTAAAATATTGCTGCTATCAATGTGGAATAGTTTCTCTTGGTATAATTTCCATGAAAAAAGGTTGTTTGACAAATCGGAATATTGTTAGTAGAACGTGTTTGTGTGTGTTTTGGTTTCGGTGTGATTTGAATAATGTTTAATGATAATGATAGTAAACTTACTAGACAATGAGCATGTGGTCAAACTTGAATATTTTCTATCTGTTGCTTTGAAATATGTGTGTTTTTTAAAACCACATTTAAAACTTGTGAATAATTTTGTCGAAGATTAAAATGAAATAAAATTATAAAACCATGAACTTTTAGTCTTTAATTTTGCTGTCAGATTTTGACTAGATAAAATAATAATAATGAAAGTTGTAAAAAAAATAAAAAAATAAAAGCATAATTTTAGACATGCATTTTTATAAATACAATCTCAACAATTACGGTAAAATATTTGGCCAAATATAAAAGTTTTTTTGCATTGCAATTATTATTTTGAAAATTTCACAGTAAGCAAGCTCAATATGCATTAGGAACTGTTGGTGTGATGTTGAATGTTGTAAAGATTGAAACGATTTGTGTTATTAGTTAACTTTTACATACTTAAAGGTATATAGAAAAAATATTTAAATAAGGATATTAAAATCTACCGTCATTCTCATCGTTTTTTTTAAACTGGTATAATTCTTTTCTTTTACATGAACATGTTTATAAGTTTTGCTAAGTATAACATGTTCGAAAATGAATAAAAAAAATCAATTAATGTATACTATTTAGCATGGAAAATAACAAAAAGGATGTTACAAATTTATCTCAATAGTGTACACATCTACACAGTCTTTCAATTCCACACAACCTTTACAAAAGATTGTAACATTATTAAAAACATTACTGCATATATATATATATATATATATATAATTAACAGAATAAAAAAATATATTACAAAATAATAAAGCAAGAAATATATAATATAAATGATATTTGTGTTGTTTATATTGTTAAGGTAATTATTACATTTTAGAAACATTACACATTGGAATCTAATTAAGAATTTAGGTATAATTATTTTTATGTAATATCAGAAGCATGATTTAACTTATATATTTGGTGTTTGCAGGTAATACTACCTCGTCTTATAATTCAATTGCAATTAAAGACTTTAATGTGGAAATACATAAATAACACTTTGAAGAATTCTTATTCGTGGTGCATCATAGAAGATAAATCAAGCATTACATGGTAGAACATTTACTTCATGGTCACTTTGTCTTCGACAGGAAGCATATCAGATTTTATTGGATAGCAGTTCCTTGCAATTTATCAGGTCTTACATTAGGTCTCACCTGGAAGCCCACTTGTTAACACTACTAATAATCGAACAAGAATAATAATTAAAATAATTTTTTCTTATACATTTCCTATCTCTTGTTATACTAAATATAGGTATTTATGAGCTTATGACCAGTGGACATTGTACCAAATTTACAATAGAGTGATCTTTTATTAGAATCTTGCAAAACTTTTAAATTGTACACTTTGACATGGCTCAGTGGAGGTGCTTTTAGCAACACCATCTATTACTAGCAAGTAAACTTAAAATTTCATGATTATACAAAAAAATAAAATAATAATAATCATATATCAACATCAGTTACTATATTATAGTAATCTTCTAAGCATCTCATAGAAACTTATGAAGATTATTTAACAAGTAAAAAAGAGTTGTGTAGAATTTTTATATGCATCTTTTTGAAAAATTAAAGGGATACTTTTTTATTTTAAAAAACATAAAAAATAATTCTTTGATATATTAATAAATTTATTATAATTTATTATTAATCACGTTGAACTGTTTATAATTAGAATTTGATTTTGTACATGGGAGAAAATATATTTAATTTTAATTATATCAATATGATATTTATTTTATTTTATTTAATAAACTAAGAAGGATGTCTGCTTCTTTCAATGTTAAAGATTTTATAAAGCTTTTGAAAAATTAATTTTTAAGACTACCGCCAATATTAATGATCTATAAAATTATGAAAAAAATTAAAAATATATATTATTGTTTGGGAATTAATATATATATATATAAATATATAAAGAAAAAATATATAAAAAGGAGAGATTAGGTATAGTAACTACAGGTCTATTTAAGGAATTTAAGCTTCTACTTGATCAATCAAAAATAAAATTAAAAAAAAAAAAAACATACATACATACATACATACATACATACTTACATTCATATATATATATATATATATATATTATTTATAGATGAAAATTAATTAATTATATATATATATATATATGTATATATGTTTTTATTTATTTTAAAACTTTAGTACATGTAGTATTTAGAATATATTATTATTTTAGAAAATATAATGGTAATTTCTTAATTTTTTTTTTAAATATTATATAAGTGATACTTCAATTAGTCATGTTAAATTTGTATTTTATACTATTTTTTGGATTATTTTAAATATCACGTTTTTGATAATAAAAAAATAAAATCTTAAATATATTTCTTAATTTTTAAAAATTATATTTGATATATATATATATATATATATATATATATACACATATATATTAGATGTTTAGAATTATTGATTGAAAATTATTTAAATAAATTTAAATTTTAAAAATAAGTTAAAAAATATATTCTTTATATATTTTTATAAGTTTGATTGTAAAAATTGTAAAGAAAAGAGACTAAGAAATTAAGAAGAGTAAAACATAATATCTAAGATTCTTTTAGAGTTTTTAGGACTTTGTTGTTGTAATTTCTAATAAACCTTCTTTAGCACAATGCTTGGTGCATTTTGAAGCAAAACTTCACATAATATAACATTGCTATGAAGTTTTGTAATTGAGAGAAGGAAATAGATCAAACTCACAATTAAATCTAAGAAGTCTTGCTACTACAAGTATATGAAAGGCAAGGATAAATATGTTGAAGAAGTTTAATAAAATAATAATAAAATTTTGAGGATTTTTATAAAAAATAAAGGTCTATTTAAGATTGCATCTCTTCTAATATTTCAATGGATTTTCTCAAGTTGGATTTCTAGGTGCACTTCTATTTGGAAGTTCTCTTTCTTGATTTGCATCCTTCATAGAAAAAGATTTACAATTTTTTTATAATTTAAATTTATTCTTAAAAGTATTTATGGCTTTATTTAGAAAAAATAATTTAGAAAATAATAATAGAGATTAAAATCCTATTTTTACAATAAAAATAATGTTTTACTACAATATATGATGTCAAATTCCAAAATCTTGCTTGCAATAAGAATTGGAATAACAAACATCTTACCAACCAATTTCGATATGAATTAAAAGATAATATCAAAGATATATTGTTGACAATGTCAAAAGCAAATTCATTCAAAAATTTTATTGCTCAAGCCATTAAATATAATAGTCATTTTTTTTGAAAGATGTCAAGAATAAAGATTTGATTGAAGAAATATAAGTTAAATCATAGCAATAACTTTTAAGTTTTTAAAAGTTTATTCATCAATGCAAATTAATATAGTAATTTTTAAAGCTCTCAATGACGTAGAAAAGACTCAATTTTATCAAGAAGGTTTGTGCTTATATTGTAGAGAATATAAGTACATTGTTCAACATTATCCAAAGAAGTAATATAATTATAGAATGAAGAGCATGATTACCAAATAAGACCATATATCAAAAGATGAGTTTCTCTAGCTACAATATGGATTGAGCAATTAAAATCTTGTACAACACCTTGTAAAGCTCTTATGCTCTTCTTAAATTCCTCACCTTGCTTTATAATAGATGTTTGTTTAGGATCAAAAAATTGTAAAGTCTTTATCTTGTTAGATTCATGAGCTTTAGCTTATTTTCTTAGATAAAGATTTTTTTTAAAAAATAATAAATATCTTTAATTAAGAAAATTAAGTTAGTGCATGTAATAGCCATAGATGGTTGTTTATTGTTTTTTAAAGATGTTATTCATGAAACTATTTCTTTGGATGTAACAACTAATGGATATTAAAACTTAATAATATTTAATATAATTTGATGTCAAAGACAAGAACTCAAGAAAGATAAGTAAATAAGTGAAATAAATATCATAAAAAATAAAAAAATAATAATAAGAAAATATATATATTTAAGAAGAAATTGAAATGGATATTGTCAAAGATTAGAAATCTATAGACTTTTGAAACCAGACTAAAAGTAAAAAAAAGAAATGACAAGAGTGAAGAAAACTTCACTCTTGCCTCTATACATACTATCTACCTAAGAGCTATAAAATAATATTCTATATAACCTTCTACATGTGTTTAATTTATGAGACACATATCTCAACTTACAAGACAAGTTTCTTATATGTATGCCACATTGTTAGCTTATACCACAAGCTATCAACATGCATGACACATGGCTAACTTTTTGGCCAAATTTCTATCCTATCAATCACCTGTAAACACATAGAAAGAAGAAATCATGTCTATGAAGCTTCTAGAAAGTTTTTCTATAAGATATTATTAAATTAATCTATTTTTATTTA